AATATTACTTGCCTCGCTCCCTGCCATACATAGCTGTCCAGTTTCATACAAGCGAGAAAGAATTGAGAGTAAAATTAGCTAGTGGCCCAAATAAGAGGCGAGTGGTGCGAGACCATTAACTGATGGAATAGCAGGGCTTGTCTGTCCTTAAAATGCCACAGACTGATAAATGGATGCTGTGGCCAAAAGATGTGCTCACTTAGCCTTTTTGTTTTAATTTAAATTGATGGGGATACAAATAACTAAGCTGTTCTCAGCATGCAGAGGCGAGGCAAAATAGCTCTATTAGCGCTCAGGGAGGCTGCTATGCAAGGCGGTCAGCTGCTTCATTTCAGACGATATGCTCTGTCGATGGCAGTTACATGTCATCTCTGGATCTTTGAAGACAGCTCAATTGCCTGTAATTTCCAAGATTATTTTGTCTGTTGGAAACTATTTTGTTACATCGGAGGCCTCTAGCGCATAGCCAGGCATTGTCAGGAATCAGAAATTAAGTAAGAGCTCAAGGAGAAGAAAAAATAAATACAAGCACTGTGATTTGAAGCTGCATCTCCAGATGACAAAGATCTCAAAGGCAAGCAGTGTGGTTTTCTTTCAGTGCGGGAGGAGAAAGAGGTTCAAAGTTGATACTGAAACGTTTGTTAGTAAACAATTATTAATAATTTAGTATTTAGTAATCAATTGCCACCCACTTCCGTACATTGGTAAAAGCTTCATTTCAACTTGCTCACAATTTCAGCTTCCAAAAAATTAAAGAAACAGCTATTGTGTGCTGGTTCTGTCTCCTGTGATGGACGAGATGTATCCGAAATGTTAATGACTTGCCTGTGTGTATGCAGATCTTTGCAGACTGTTAATACCATACCAGTTATTATTAGTATGTACTTATTGAAGGTATAGGTATTTGACCTTCTCTAGGTTCAAAATGAAGCTGAATTACAAATTCAGCTGGGTTATTGGGAAGGACAGCGAAAACCTTTTCTTCCTCTGTTGGAAGTAATCTTGTCTGTAATTTGAAGAAATTATTCAAGGGACAAAATATGCAATCATACAGTGTTGGTCTGTGTCAGCTCTGATGAAAAATTGATTGACTCAAGAATCTTTATGAATGCCTTATCAAATGTTATCATAAATCATCACTTAAACCCTTGTTTAGTTTTCACAGACATGTTAAGACCTGTGCTTTACCTGAGTTTTGGCTAAAGAAAAACACATACAAGCAATATGCAAGAGAATTCTTACAGGTAGTAAAACCAGGTTTTAGTAGAATTGACTTTGTATTGTGTATGGACTCTTTTTCTTCCCATGTTTTTGTGCAGCTTGTTGGACGTTGCTGCTTAGCAAAGGGAGATCCTGAAATACAAGCAAACTCTGTCACTTCTGATGTTCAGTTTGGAAAAAATGTCATGCTGAGGTTAGTAGCACTCTAGAGTACCCTGATGTGTTAGTGGGCTGATGCTGGCAGGCTGGTTCTAGGCTCCTCTCAGTTAAAGGAGCAAGAAAGACTGCTTCTGAACTGATCATGAAGGCAGCTTTGGTCAGAAGGGAAACATTTCTATTACACAGAGAGGATTTTGTAGATGATAGGTTTGATAAAATAATTGCCTCTTTTCTGTCTGTACTCAGTGGTGAAAGTGTGATTCACCTTCTCTGTTTTGAAAGCTTCTCTGTCACCATCGTGTATAGACTGGGTCTGGAAAACAAACTTGGATTTATATGCCTAACTTCCAGACAATCTGAGACAGGCGAGATGAACCCTACCTCTTTCCTGGCATAGCACTAGGTTTGTGCAGCACAAGACAAGCTTTTTCTCCTAGAGAGCTGAATCACTGGTATCCCAGCTTCCTCCATGATATCTGTGTAATGTAGGCAGACATCTCAGCTGTGGCTTGAGGCTGTTGCATAGGTCTCCTGCGGCCTTTCCCTTAATCGGGGACTCGGTGGGCTGGGGGTGTCACAGATTAGACTAACAAGCTGCCCCTGGTTGTGTGAGGGTCTCCAAGAGATGGGAAACGGAAAGTCAGGCTGCCAAACAGATGTGCATGAGGAAGCTACGGCCCTAAGAGAGAATGATGTGAGTAAAACCAAGCGTCACTGTCATTGTGTGAGTAAACTGAGAAGTCTCTGATTTGTGACAGTGGGTTTTGTAGTAGTAGGAAAGCATGAGGAGGTGGAACTGGTCTGGAAGCCATGACAAGGGCAAGAAAATAGGATGCTTCTGAAACTAGTCAACATAGGTGTTATGTTGATTTGGGTCAGAAAGAGATAAGAGTCATGTTTTGATATGCATTACTGGCAGGAGATAAAATCAAGCTGCTTAATACCAGTTCATATGTATCAAGTAATGGCTTAAAGCCAATAGCCCGTTCAGGTGGACCTATGTGAAAGCATGTTTCTCCACAGACCTCAGAAATGGAATAATTGGCTCATATTAACTTTTCAAGCTGACCTGGAATCACTGGTATCTAACAGGGGAACCTGAGAGTAAGCCTACGGTTTGCATTGGCTTTGAATTTTTTTAATCTTCAGACTTTTTTTATATAAGGAACATGCAATTAACGAAACAGAAGGAAACGGCAGTGCTCACTTTCATAAGATGATTTTATTTCTAATGTGTTTCATGTTTTATTTCAGTTTGCCAACCTCTTTATTCTTAGCTTTACTTGGAAACAGAATGTACTTATCTTGGCCGGGGGGAACCCCTCAAACCCTAATTTTGCTTTTTAAAAGGAGTAGAGGGGGAAGTAAGTACCAGGTACTGCAACACTGTTGTGGGTTAGCTGTGGCTATCAGCCAAACTCCCACCCAGCCGCTCAGTCCCTCCCTCCCCTCCTCAGCAGGATGGGGGGAGAAAATGGGAAGAACAGGAAGGAGAGAAAAATAATGGTTTGAGATGAAGACAGGGAGATTACTTGCCAATCACTGTCGCAGGCAAAACAGACTCAACTTGGGGAAAATTGACTTAATTTATTGCCAATTAAATAAAAATGTAACTACTAATTTGGGTAGTGGGAAACGAAAAGGCAAACATTGAAACAACACTGTTCCTCCCCCCGTTTCCCAGGCTCAACTTCATTTCTTCACTCACGACTCCTCTACTTGCCTGCCACCCTCCACCCCCCAAACCCTGAGTAGCGCAGTGGGGATGGGGTTTATGGTCAGTATACAATGGTTTCTCTCTGCTGCTCCTTTCTCACTCTTTTCCTCTGCTCCAGCATGGGCTTTCTATGGGCCACAGTCCTTCAGGAATATCCATCTACTCCAGCAGGTCACCTCCACAGGCTGCAGCATGGATCTCTGCTCTGGCACCTGGAGGACCACCTCCACCTCCTTCTCCATCATTCTATTTTTTGCTTCATCTATTTATTTCATACCAGCGGCCCATATACACCTTAGGTATGTGAAAGGTGCATAATAATGTTATTTACCTTGTTGAAGGAATGGAAATAACTTCCACCTCAGCCTTTCTGTGTAATCTAGAGAAAATGGCATATAATTTTCTTATCAGGTTTAAAGCACACATTTAATACTATACCTTTTGATTGTCTCTTGTTGCTACTTCAATAACAAACACCATGGTTATTTTTATCTTCTCAGGAGAAAATATGTGATGTTAAATGGCTGGAAAAAAAGAGAAATCTGGAGATAACTGTGCTTCCTCAGAGCATAAAGGGCTTATTGAATAAACATGCAAAAGACTTTTTGATACTGACAAAGGGAAATTATTTTTATGTACAATGCTCTTCTAACCTATGGACCAGCTTCTGAAATACCATCTGTATTATAGTAACTCCCTGTGCACAGGATAGTGGAAGGCTTTTGGGAATTACATTAACACTTTAAGAGACCACAGTAGTCCCCAAAAAATTAAGTGTAATTAAAAAAAAAAAGCGGGAGTTGGAAGCAACTACATATAGTAATATGGAATAAATTAATAGGTTTTGCTATGCTACTAAAGCATTAATAAGGCCCAGAGCTTAAAGTAACCACTTCATGTGGTTAGAATACGTTGCAGTTCTAGAACTAATAACAAACAATGACTGGGGATGTAAATATTGTGCTTCAGGGCATAAGTCAAAGACTAACACACAAACAAGAAATATTTTAGTTTACAAGTACATTATCTAACCGTAGGATTTTTACGTTCTAGTTGAAGTAATCTGTTGCTGGTTACACAGACGGAGTGTAGACCGTGCCTGGAGCTCACCTCTTACGAGGTTTGACTACATCTTTTCTATTCTATACCTCTCCACTACAGTGCTGCTAAAGTTTTTATGATTGTTAGTCTAGGTTTTATATCTTCAAAGATAAATTAATAGAAGGGCTGGTTTTTTTTTAATAAAAAGTTGGCATTTTTCCCGTACCATTTCTGAAGTTGACCCAAGGAAGGCATTGAGATTGTTAATCACTTAAAAGTAAAGACAGCTCTATAGTTAGCATCCATTGAGGAAAGTACTGTTTTACATCCTCTATAAATATTTAATTATCAAAGAAAATAGGATGGAACTGTTATGGTACAAGTGACTTCCTGCATCTGATTACACAAAGGATTCTCAGTTTGAAGCCTGATCTATTTTAACAATACAAAATATGTTGCCTGGAGCAGCTTATTTCTCAGTTACAATAAAATAACTAAATTTGAGTGTTCAAAAGGCACATTACAAAATTCTAAAAAGGAGTCAAAATGCTCTTCTTGGTTTGCAATGGTTATCTGCTATTTGCAGCACTTTTACTCAAGGTGCATAAATTTATTTTCCTTCTTTTAGTTGCATGATTTTGCTCTCATATGTACATTTTACTTGCTACTTTTCTTGTTTATGCCAACTAATTTTGTGAAGTTCTAATGATATATAGATTTTAGCACTGTGACTTTGTTTTAACAAGTTAAAGTCTATTTCAGCTTAAAAAGACTACGAAGAGTCTATTCATTCAGTCCGACTTTGATGTCTAAAGTTACTCGATAGCATCCTTCTAATATTCACAAAAGAGCAACAGGGCAGATGAGATTACAATTGGAAACTCATCAAAGTAAATTGATGCCTCTCTTGGTCCTGGACATTGCTGTTAGCTGTCTTCAGCTTCAGAAGTAGAAGTGGTGCCTGAAAAAAGGTGCAAGGCTCTTTTTCAGCTGGGACAAGCAGTAAAATGAATTCTGCTGGAATGGATGAAAAAAATGATCACCCAGCAGTTAAACCTGAAGAAGAACTAAGTGTAAGTAGGTGACTTAGGCATTCTTGATTTCTTACGCTTCTTGACGCTATTAGATCTCTTATGATCTAATTCTCAAGTATTAAACTTAACATCCCAGTTAGATTTGTTATAACTTTCTATTTTATAACTCACTCTAAAAATGCCAACATAGGTTTGTCTACCTTGAGATTGCTGGTAACGTGCATTTTCAGGCAACTGAAATAATGGGAATGTCAGTGTGACAATAGGAGAACTTATATTGGTGTCATGGCAGCATGTTTTTCCAAAAAGAAATCAATTTCTAGGCAAGAAAGACAACATTAAAGTAGGTAAAGTGTTTTGCTTTGCCCTGAGAAGATAGAAGAAGGGATTATTGCATGAACATTAACTCATGACAAAGAAACAATTAAATAATTCAGTGTATGGTGATAGTCAAATTGCAGTTTTAGCTGGAAGCCAATTCTAGAGTATAAGAACTAAGTTGCAGTAGAAAGGAAAGCTGAATTAAGAATTGTGAACCTTATTGAGGGAAGGGAACAGCTTAACTTTGCCTTTTGTTTTTCTTACTATAAAGTGGTTTATGGTAAACTAATATAACCTAGGGAAATATTTAAAATGTAGAGCATAGCATTCAATATTCCTATGAATTCTGTGTAATAGAGAACTTTGCAATGCAAGTCTTGATACATGAAGTGCATTTTTTTAAAAATAACATTAGAATTGTGGTAGATGCAATGAAGGCATTAGTTCTTTAAAGTACATACTTACAGTCCAGTGATGTCAATCTTGAGCAGTCTTTAACAATCCTTGACAGAAACTTTGTGTCTAATTTTTAAGAATAAATCTGTCTGGTTAGGTCTACAGTTACAAAAATGAATGGCATGGGAAAACTTAAATATAAAATATTCTGGGGGGAACCTTGATGAAAGTGGCCCAAATTTCAGATGTCAGAACTGAGCATTCATTCAGCTGTCTCAAGCTGACCTATTGAACACCTGAGCGTATCAGGGAACTTTACATGACAGAGCAGAGCTTTAAACAAACAGAAAGGCAATTTGGTTTTCATCCTTAAACAGACTTATACTTAATAAGGTTTTTAAAAAATACAGAAGACAGGCAAACTGAGTCCTTCTTGAGAACATGCAAAACAAGTGCAGTTAATTACCTAGACGGAAGATAAGAGTCTGCAATATTCCAGTTCGGTGTTTTCACGTTTTGTTTGAGGAAATCGTAAAGTGTACTACCGGGTCTTATTACTCATTATTACTTATTACTCCTTCTTCTCATCTTTGAACATGCTGAACTCTGAGCTGAAAGATTGCTGGCCATTATATTTGACTATGGGACTGGCAGGATATCTGTGAAGATGTTGCTCATGCTCTCTCTGTGAGGTTTCACAGAGCCTTCTTATTGAAAGCGTTACTAGGGCATAATATCAGAGAGTCATAGAAAAACTTACATTGGTGGGGACTTCTGAAGGGGATCTACCAACCATTTTTTAAAAACAGGGCTAACATCAAAGTCAGAACAGATTTCTTGGGGCCTTGTCCCACTGAATTTTAAATATCTCCAGGGATGGAGGTTCCCTGATCTCTGTGGGCATGGCTTAGGTGCATGAACCTCATGGTGAAATACTTTTCTCTTCCCCCCGCACTCTCCTTCCCCGCCCATGTCCAGCTGGACTTTCCCCTGCTGCCATGTGACTGTTGTGGCTGTCTCTTCACTGTGCATCAGTGAGAAAAGTGTGGCTCTGTTTTCTCCATAACCCACTTTAGGTAGGGAAATCTATAATTAGATTTACTCACACTGACTTTGCCTTCTTGTCTCCAGCTAAACAATCCCAGGGCTCTCAGCTTTTTGCTGTTCATCACATCCTCCAGCCCCTCGCCTCTTGGTGGCCCTCCCCTGGAATCACTCCAGTTTATCAGCATCTGTTATACTGATGGGCCCAAAACTGGGCACAGTACTTCAGATGTGGCTCTACTAGTGTTGGGCAGAAGGAAAAAACCACTTATTGTAGATTATTTCACAGCATTGCTTTTGCAAATGTCTAGTAGTTATGCTTGGCATTTCCTGGGTGTCAAGCTCCATCAGCACGTAGTTTTTGTAGCCGCTATATTAAACTTGGCATCCCACATTCATAACTTGTAGTGCAGTTCTTAGCTGGGTACCTCCTGACTTTCATAGTCTTCTCCCTCCTCAAGTGAAAAATAATTAGTAGGGATGAAAAATGAGTCTTGTGCCCACAGCTTTTAGTCTACAACAGGCCACACTCTTGCAGTGTACTTTCTGAGAGGCTTCAAAGAATGAAATGATGGCAAATAGCCTGGAAGCTTGTTGCAGGCTTTCTCCTTGGTGCCTACCCCTTGTAGCTCTGCAGGGGCTAAGAAGGGTCTATTGAGCATGGGGAACAGCCAGATCTGCCCAAGTCAGGGTCTGTGCTGTTGTATGTGCATCTGTTCTAGCGTGATTGTGAATTCCTCAGTGTATTTCTGTGTGGGCACAGAAGGGGATAGGTGATGGGACAGGGGTTCGTCCCTCAGCAGAGTGAGGCTATCTGCACCTTGAGCAAATCATAGACCAGTTATCATTGGTCTTTGCCAAAGATTCTTGATTTGCATTGCTGAGAGATGATGTAGGACCTCTGAGTAGGTCCTAGCCCACAAGTGGCATAAAATCAGCTGTGAGGTGGCGGAGACCGACTTTGAAAATGCCCTTAAAATGAATCAAGCTATTCCAAAGACCAGGGAAAAAGATCTTGTTTGTTTGTTTGTTTTGGTCTTCATCTTTAAAATGGTGAAGTTCAGTTTCATCTTTGTATTATATGAGCTCCTGAGCCAGGTCTTTTTGTCTCAAAGGCTGTTTTGTGCTTCATAGAAGATTTTCCACTAAAACTCTTGCTGCTGATTGCTGACTGGTGTTTGTCAACACCTCCAGTCACGGAGAACCCACAACTTCCTAAGGCAGCCTCAAGAGCTTCCCTCTCACTAGCATCAACATGTTTTTGGAATATTTTTCCTGAGCATTCCTTATTGATGTGACAATATTATGTAACTTATGTTATAGTGTGATATAAGGAGGAAATTCAAGGGATTTTTTTTTAGTTCTAATTCTGGTGCAGCTGGGTATCATAGCTATGCCTATGTTCATACCCAGTGCACTTGGTCATTAGTGCCCTGAGTGGTCCAGGAACTCGCCAGCTAACCTCTGCATAGACGAGACAATGAATTGACTTGAGAAAAGGTGATTGAACCTCTTGCTGATCTCACAACAAAGTGTTTGACTGTCACAGGAGCTCTCCAAGTGGGAATTTGATGAAGTCCCAGAGATTTCCCCAGGCAGCTTTTTCTGTGCCTGCAGCAACTGGTAGGCATTATTTGTATGCTTAAATGCATTGATTATCTCCTGCAGAGGAAAATGCCTGGGGGAGTGTCTGGTACAAACAGATTTTCCAGAGCAGGCCAAACTGTAGATAGATAAGAAACTTATAGGAAGTAGAAAATGTTCCTGCAAATGCAGAAATGGTCACATAGTAGTCTTTTGTACCTAGATAAGATGGTCAGGAGATATTTTGAACCTAGTTTTAGAAAATCTGGGACTGTAGTTCAAAATAAACTGTCAAGGGGCTGGATATCCAGGTGATGACCTTGTCCAGGTCTCATCCCAGCAAGACCTGTGATGTGTCCTCTTGTTCACTGGAGGGAACTTCTAGAGGGTCATGCAGGAGGAGGATATCTGTACCCACCGCTCCTCATCCTGAAAGGAAGCAGAGACTTTTTTCTGAGGAATGAATGGGTTGAGCCCACTTGTAGTGGGATAGTTCTGGTCTGAGAAGAAAGTGGGGTTTTTTTGAACAACAGTGACTTTTTGACCATGGACTGGGAGGAAGCAATGATAGTGTGCATATGCCCGTCTCTCGGTACTTTAGCAGGGAAATGACAAGCCATAGTACTGGAAAAAGGATTGACTATTTGAATATCATGCTAACCCCTCCCTTCCACTTCACACAAAGGGAATGAATGGCTGAACATGTGTCTGCTTCCGCACTAAACTTGCATAAACATAGCAACTATTTGGGTTATGAGACACCTTGCTAGGTTATGTTACCAAGCTGTTGGTGAAAAGCTGCTATTCTGCAGTACTTGTCTGTGTATACATCTCAGCTGCAGACAGTGCAAGGTAATTCAGTGCTGTCTACCCTTTGGACTAAAGAGGGCTAATTTACACTAATGAGGAATGCCCAAGGATATTAGCATTCATTCAGATGGTTAATGCTGGGTAGCTGTTGCATGGTGAGCTGTTATCCTAGGGTTCAACGTATTTTTACATCCTTATGCAACAGGGACTGACTTATATCAGCAAGTGTCTGGAAGAAAAGGACCTTACTTTCTGACTGGAGTTTTAAACTGCTACTAAGTTAATTATAGTTGTGTATATGCAGTAACAGACTGCATATATGTGTGGGAATCTGTTCTAGTCATTGGTCAGTCAATTGCTGTTAGAAATGTTCCACATTTTTTGTTGTCTTTCACCTTATTTTAGGTAGCCAACATCTCAGTCCAAATGGTAACTGCAGAAGATAAGTTGGCAAAGAGGATTCTGGCAAGGAAAAAACATGACAAATTGAAATTGAAGAAAAAAGATAAGTTGCTGTGGAATCTTCAAAACAAAATAATTCTCTTTACCCTCATTCTATTCATTTTAGGAGTTGTAACCTGGACATTACTGTGGCTCTTCATTGGTGAGTTGCTGAAAGCTCATGCCAATTTCATACATCACTATCCCCAATAGCACTTTTAGTTCGTTTTAGGATCTCACTTGTCCTGAAGGCTCTTTCTAAAATACACAAACTTATTTAAATGGGGCCTGAAAGACTTTTGAGCATCTTTATTAAGACTTCAGACAGTTGAATTAACAAGTAATTATAAGAGCAGGCATAGCTGCTGGCTTTAGGAAGTGTGACTTTTTAAGTGTTATGCAAAACATTTTTTTTTTTACATGTGCTAGCTAATTGCGCAGACCCAACAGTACCTATGAACTTGATTCCTCAATTTTTGACTTCCATTGTGTTTCTTGGCCTGCTGAAGGCCAGGTAAGTTCTTTGTCTCTCATGCAGAATAGATTTAAAGAAATTAAAGGGGAGTAAAATATAGAAGGCAAATATTTATAAGACTTGTAAAAACACTGGACAGGACAAGAAATTATCACTTCTGTGGAGTGTTGCTTTCTTGTTTGATGTGTCTAAGTGGGCAGTAAAAGCTATGTTCTCCTCTTTAAACCTCCAATGCTAATATTGCCTAAGATTCCTTAGGGATGCTGCAGAATCTGGATGTTGATATTGCCTTCATTATGCTGGTTCATTTGTATGGTGGTATCTTATCTTGCGTGTAGGGAACAGGTGCTCAATTAACTTTCATATTGTGGTACTCATCTAGGACAGTTTGGCTGTGAAAACGTAGTGTTCATTTGGTAGTCCCTTCCACTGTAAGGCTGAATAGATTAATTTGATTTAGAATTTAATCAGTAAAAAAATCTCTTTTGTTATTAAAAACAAAATAAAAAATTGGAGGCTAACTGTCTTCTTTGTTCTTGCAGTTCAGGCAGAAAACAAAGATGCATTGTATTTTGTTGGACTGTTTCGTGTTGCCAACATAGAATTTCTCCCAGAATATAGGCAGAAGGAGTCGAAAGAATTCCTTTCCATGGCACAGAATGTGCAGCATGTGGTAAGATGAGTGGGCTGCTTGGCTAGCAAAAAGATCAGAGCTGTGAACAAGAGGTGCGACTTTCAGGTGCCATTGAGTCTGCTGTGTTCTACTTCCTACCCTGTCGTGGTTTAACCTCAGTCGGCAACTAAGCACCACACAGCCGCTCGCTCACTCCCCACCCCCCTCACCCCCCCCCGTGGGATGGGGGAGAGAATTGGAAAAGCACAAGTGAGAAAAACTCGTGGGTTGAGATAAAAACAGTTTAATAACTGAAATAAAATGTTAATGATATGATAATAATACACAAAGCAAGTGATGTACAGTACAATTGCTCACCACCCGCCAACCGATGCCCAGCCAGTCCCCGAGCAGCGGCCCCCCCGGCCAGCTTTCCCCAGTTTAGGTACTGAGCATGACGTCACATGGTATGGAATGTCCCTGTGGCCAGTTTGGCTGTGCCCCCTCCCAGCTTCTTGTGCACCTCCAGCCTTCTCAGTCGGTAGAGCATGGGAAACTAAAAAGTCCTTGGCTAGTGTAAGCATTACCTAGCAACAACTAAAACATGGGTGCGTTATCAACTTTGTTCTCATCCTAAATCCAACACACAGCACTGCACCAGCTACTAGGAAGGAAATTAACTCTGTCCCCGCCAAAACCAGGACACACCCCAACTGGAAGATTATGTACAAAGGGTGGCATCTGGAGGCAGGAAAGAACTGAGTGCTTCCAGCTTGTTAATCACAAACTGAGTTTTGAAAAGGTCCATTTGACTTTGCATTTACTAAAAATTTTACCTATTTCCCCCCACAAATCGGAGTCTACGAATAGAACTCTACACAAGCCCTTCAAAACTTAATTGCCACATTTGAGACATTAAACCGATGAAGTCTTTTGCATTTAAATTGGTATCTGCTGCCAGTCTTCTGCCTTAGAGGATCTATAATTACTCTAGAGCTCTCAAACATATTTACGTTTCCTTCTGATGCCAGGTATTCAAAAGACCATTACTCTTCCCAAACACCTTGCATCAGTCAAAGCAGAAACAGCAATCTGTTGTAGGCAGTTAAGACTGCTCTGGTGTGGGAAGAGAGGGGTGGGAATCTTGGTTAAAATGAATTTGACTTTAAAGACATTTGGTGTGGGGAGGAAAAAGACATTAGCGCCAGGAAATGCAGCGCTGTCCACATAAGGATTCAAGCAATAGTAAGAAAACTGCTAAACAAATAAAAAGATAATAATAATGTCAGATGGAATCAAGACATTTTTGAATAATTGTTAAGTTTTTGTCATCTTATTATATGAACTCATGTTCCTGTTTTCCAGCTCTGTCTTCCCCCCCTCCCCCCCCCAAAAGCTGGACTTGAAAGCAGATAGTCTAGTTTTCCTAGTCCTGCATCTTAACGTCTGAAGCGCTTTCAGGCAGGGGTGACAGACAACAAGCACAAGAAGTGTCCTTCCCCCACTCTCCATGGAGCAGCTCTAACCTGCTGTGAGCCCGGTGTCTTGCTCTTGTCCCAGAGCATCCTGCTGTTGTCACATAGTGGAGAGAGGTGACAACAGGTGTGAACTGCCAGTGTCACCACCTCCTACTTGAATGTAAATTGGAAATTATTTTTTTGTCTGTAAACTCTGCCTGAACTCACCAATGGATTTTACATTGCTGAAACTGCACTTCTTGGTGACATGACTGTTGACTAAAATTGCTAGTAGGGATGTGGGAGGTTTGCGTTTTGTTTGTTTTTTCTCCTTGAAACCCTTTTGTTCATGGCTCCTGGCCCAGAGACCCCCAGAGTGGTAATGGAAGAACCTCTCAAGATAGGCTCCTTTTCCCTTTGATAGTAACAGTAATATATAAAATCCCTTGTAGCCTAATCTGGAGAAAGATTGAGCTCTACCCATTTTATTTAGGCCCTTAAAATAATTGTTCAAACTTCCTGTGTCAAACACTAAAAGTTAGGGAGTAATATTAATGTGATTTTTACAGCCTTTGCTTCAAAGTAATCCATGTTACCATCCCTTGGGCATTAATTTTAACTATTAAGCAGCAGGATGAGGTCTGAACTGCTTGAGGTACATGCCACCTTGTGGCTTTAGAATTGTGCCTCTTTGAACAAGAGGAATGAAAGTTATTGTCACACTGGTATCACCACACACATACAAAGAACTGGTAGAATTGAGAGCTTGCTTTCCCCAAAGGCAGCCCCACAGCATGAAATGAGCAGAGTTTGTCCTTCTCCACATATATCACATTGTGTATCGGAAAGAAATATGTTAATACGAAGCCGTTAGTGAAGAAAATAGACACAAACTGAATTGAAATGCAAGAAAATTCCACATAAATATTAGAAAAAAATGTTTAACTGTGAAGGTGATCAAACACTGGAGCAGGTTGTCCAGAGAGGCTGTGGAGTCTCCATTCTTGGAGGTATTCAACTGGACGTGGCCCTGAACAACCTGGTGTAGTTGATCCTGCTTTGAGCAGAGGGGTTGGACTGGATGCTCTCCAGGGGCCCCTTCCAATCTCAGCCTTTCTGTGATTCTGTGGAAAAAGTTCTCGTATGTGTTGTTAACTGCACCTTAGTACCAACACACAAAATGTTATGAGTACGTACTTATTTCCTGAAAACTGCCCCTAAGTTTCAGCATCAGGATAGGGAAGCCCTCTGTGTTTGGGATTTGCTGGGCAAAGAATGTGTGCTCTTTTCAAAACTCATTTACTTGGAAAAAGCATTGCTGCACACGTCAGCTGGCCATGGGCAGAAGATTTGATGTTTCCTGGGAATACTGGACTTGTTATGGGTGCATTGCAGTGCTGGTCTGTTCCTGTCTGCTGCTCTGCCTAGTTTGGCTGCTGTATGTCTGGAAATGTGTGCAGATTGCATATTCTTGGTGGAAAAGAGGACGTTCCTAGGAAAGCCTAGGTATATGACATCTTTGGGTATGGCTGATTTTTCAGAAATGCTAAATCTTAATTGGCTTAATACTTTCTCTTTCAGATGAATTTGGTCTACGCAAGCTCCTCTTTCTCCAAATTTTATAAGCAGTCCACAGTTTCAGAAGTCAGGTAAAACTGTGGTTAATGTATTTCTGCTGGGTAGTATATAATGTAATGAGCCCACAAGAGAAACCTATTTTTGGTAGTTATGATTTAATCTCTTTGCTATGCATTTGTATTGATAGCAAAATACACTTATAACCTGTACCAATTCATTTCACAAAAGTAAGGGCTAAAGTCATATAAGCAGTTCCTTGTCTGCCAGGAATATAATATAAGGTAAACAGAAATAATGTCTCTAAAGAGGTTTGGTGATGCTTTAGCTGATAGGTCACACAGAAGTTTAACCACTTAAATGTGCTGCTAGAGCACAACTCTGTATTATTACCCAAGTTGCACATATTTTATAAGTAATGTTATTGGTATAAAACTGTTCACTGACAGAAGAATGGGAAAATCCCTATACTGCAATAAAGTACACTTACTCTAATATTATGTATGCAATTAATGCTAGAGATTAGTTATTCCAATCCAGTGATCTTTAGGAGATAATCCAGCTCTAATTCAAGTAGATATGATGATTTCCATAGACCTCAAAAGTCAGGAGCCCTCAGGAAGTCAGCCTAGTGAAGATCCCCAACTGGGTGTGAGGAGTGTGTTTTGGTGTTTTGGGCTCTTTTTAAAATTTTTTTTTATTTTCTAGGAGAGAAAAAACATTCAGTGTGTCAAAGCAACAAGGCAAGATGGAAATAAACCATACTTTTCTAAATTTGTACTTCAGAAGCTTGTGTTGAGAGTCTAGTCTTTCAAAAATTTTCAACATGTTGGTAATCCGTAGGACCTTTTTATTTCAGTAACAACAACAATGGAGGCCTCCTTATTCATTTCTGGATCATATTTGTGGTACCACAGGCGAAAGGCCAAGTGCTGTGTGAGGATTGTGTGGCTGCCATTTTAAAGGATTCCATTCAGACAAGTATCGTTAACCGGACCTCGGTGGGAAGTCTTCAGGGCCTTGCGGTCGACATGGACTCCATTGTACTAAGTGGTTAGTATTAGCACATACCCATATCCTTGAGGAAACACTTTATTAAGCAAACATTTTTATCTTGGAGTAGCAAATTCTATAAATAAACCAAAATCTTTTCCCAGCATCTTTAGCTTCTAATACTAAAATTATTCTAGAAAGAAAAAGAGGAAAAGCAAAATCAAAACCAAAACCAGATTTGAGGTCAAATCAAGGTACAAAGTATCTGTGTGAACACCAATTGCAAAACTTCCTTTACTTGGAGCGCTTATGTTCAAAATCAGGAGCTAAGCCTGACACCTTGTAGCCAGCTCAGATTTGGGTTAGTCTGTGACTTTAAAAGTATAAAAAGATGAAGGGCTAAGGTTTCCACATGGTTCAGATTTTAGCCCCTCCACTGAAAATTAGATTCTTGTCATCCCTTTATTAAAGATTAAGAAACAGATAGCTGCCCATTCATTAAACAACTCCCATGCCATTCCTATCTGGGGAAGAAATTAGCAACATAGGATTGAAGTATCTGTTTAATGTAATTAGCTACAAAATGTTGTATGATTTTCAGCTCTATGAACAAAGGACAGAACAAGCTTCATTTGAACATCTCTGTCCAACTGAAAGCTGAAAAAGACTTTCTGGCCAAGGGTGAGAAAATGACCTCTTGAGTACTTCTGTCTCAGTCCTTCAATTAAATTTGACTGCTTAATTGACATACAGTCTCTTCTTGCCTCAGGCACGAAGATGTCTGGGGACATGATACCTCCAAAGCTGCTTGCAGAATTTGCAGAAATGAAGGGGGTTTGGGCAGCCTCCCTTGTTGAGATAGCTGTTTTGTCCTGTGTGTTTAGTGTTATGATTAAAGAAGTGTGATTGAATTAAACCGTGGATTCTGGATTTTGGGCAAATGAGAAGACTCACGCAACTCTTTTTCTGTGCAGCAGGTCTTCGGTCAGATTATTGGTCAACAACAGGAACAGGTAATTCACCATTTTGGCAGTTTCCTGGCAGAGAAGAGGTGGAGAACAAAGCTTTTAGTTCATGTCTTTAGACTCAAAGATACTGTTCAGTGTTAATTTAAGAGGGTTAAATTCAGCCTTGGCATTTATGTCCTGAGTTGCTATAAGAGTAACCAAGAGTCTTGCATGCGACAAATACAGAAACTATCTGCCTTTAGTCTGACTGGTAAATTTTTTAGATGTACCTGGTGGCATGGTAGGAAATAAACTCAGTCGGTTAGTTGTTTGCTATTCACTCTGCGTTGAAGAGAAGATTAAGCTTTTCTAAACTGGGCAGTACTGAATTTAAATCTATTTATTGGCTTTTGAGATAAACAATAGCAATGCTTTTGTCCATCCTTTATCCTCCTTTACTCCTTTTTCTTCACGGTTAATGATGAGTTTTTCTTTTGAATGAATTCTCTAACAGAAATTAGTTTAAGCAGTTCAGTTTTGCCAGGGTTATGGGTGACACTACTTATATACCTGCTTGGTCTCATGTTGTAAACCTCCCAGTAGGGTTCTTTGGCAGTGTGCAGAGGCTTTACAAGCAGATTAAGAGTACAGTGCATCTATGTTCACTAGCATGTGGAGTAGGTACCTAGAAAAAATGTGCTACTAGGCTAAGCAGTAGTATGCTAATCACCTTTGATGCAGACACCTGATAAGTCTCTGCTGGGCCAGCAGTTGTCAATTAGGTAGGGATGTGTTGGCCTCCCTTGTTCCTTGACACAGGCTTACTTTTCATCTTGTGAGGTTGCACCGTTTCAGTTTTTTACCTTTCCATGTCTGTATTTGTCTTTTCTGAGACATTAACTTGTACTATTTCAACAATTGCATTTTTATCTGTGATTTCCGCTTCTGTTATCTTGCAAGGTTTTAGCTTGCATACTTTCTCAGAATTCAACAATTACTTTTGTTAGCGCAGCCAAGTCAAGGTCTCCTAGTACTGCTGTCCACAGGTGGACTTCGGGTCACAGACCCTGGACCATGGTTTGCAATGCCTAGATTGATATCAGCCCATAATTTCTCAAAATTCAAGTCAAGTTTGATACAGCATTCATTTGCTCAAAACCTTTCCTGACTTAAACTGCAAAGCATAGCAATATTGGCCTTTGTCACATCTCCTTACATGCATTTTAATTATATGAAATAATTTTGTGCGTTGGTGCTCACTTGTATAGCAATTTCATTCCGCAGTTCAGTGTTCCAGGGCAGAGGAATTAGTACAGTCAGATCTTATGTTTCAATTTATTCTGGAGTATATTCCCTAAAGGAGAAGAAAATAAGAACAGTGCAACACAAATATTGATTCTAAGGCTTTTTTAGGACTTGTATGGTATCTTTCACACAAAGGGAGAAGGGTGACCTGCCATATTCTAGACGTCTTTCAGAGACTCACAATGTAGTCAACCACAGGTGGCAACTGGTATCTGTCAGAAGCATAGCGCTGGTATGCAATGAAGTTGCAGGGGAACAACAACATGGATTGCCACAGGAGTTGAGAAAGTCTTATACTGGTGCAATTTCATTTGTTGGAGTACCTTGAGTGTGTCTGCTTAGGACTGTAGAATATGGTGCAGAGGTTAAAGTGTTAATGCAGCAGCATACAAGGAAGGTGCATCGCCTGGTTGTATCTTGAGAGCTATAGAGTTACTTTGGCATGAAGATACACCTAGTTATCAGTTCAGGCACAGCACTTGAGTGCAGATTTATTGAAGAACGGGTTGGAGAAGGGACTTGTCACTCACATCAGCTGAATCTCTACCTGCATTGCCATGGTATGCCATGGTATCTGGCTATGCAGGGTCTGCTTGGGTAAAGACTGTATCCAGCTTTGGTTTCAAACTGGTAGGCTTGCATTACTTCTAGTTCCAGAGCCAGCTCTGAAATCTCTGCACCATGCTTCTCACCAGCAGTGAGCTCATCACATTATTAACTACTTAGTAGAAATAGTGGTAGTCACATAATTCTAAAGACTATGATCAAAGCTGGCTTTGTTAGGGGTGAGTAAATAAGCACAAATAACTATTATAAAAAGAATGTTATTTGGAAGAGATAAGAACAAGAAGGAAGAGAGAACAATAGCTCAACCAAAGCTTTAAATAGTTATAACTGTAATTCAGTTGTACGGTATGTGACCCTTACAGATTGTTCATGAACATTCATAGCATTAGTTTCAAGATTGTAAATTAGAAGTGGAAGTCAGACAAAGCCTACCACTTCCTGTCTTGATTAACTGCTGGTTAAAAGGTCAACATTTAGTTTGAGTCAACAATTGATAGTGAACTTTCACAGTGCTCTAATTGGTGTTCCACGATAGTAACTATTTCAGAGACTTGCCTTTTTAATAGACAGAAATTAATGCAAATGTTTACTTTGGATCTTATTCTCCCTAATTTGCATTTTCTTCCTTCCCACCTTTCAAAGAGTTATGTTAAGAGTTTTAGATATGACCAAACAAAAAAATCCCTAACCTTTTTGCTGAATGGGAGCTGCAATATTGAATTGAAATAAAGACCTCAATATGTTTGACTTGAAAGCAACAATTGTTTTTGTTTTTTTTTGGAATTGGATGCAAGTAGGGTAATTTTCTGGTGATTCTTATCTAAATTACGACAGCCTTTTTTTGCCTTTCTTTTGGCTTCTTTTTAATAGAAGTGTTTTGTAGGCTAGGCTGTATGGCTTACATTTCACGGTACTTCCATTTCTAATAGTGACTTCTAATGCTGCAAAAGTTTTCAAGACTTGACAGGAAAAACTCCTGGTCTGAATTAATTTTGACCCTGCTTTGAGCAGGGCATTGAACAAGAAAGGTCTTAGCATCCCTTCCAATCTGAATGAATTGGTGACTCTGAATTTAGTGGTAGCACTTACAGCTCATTTCACTTACATTTCACAACTTACATTCACTTCATTCACAACTTACTTACATTTTCATGAGCTGTAATAAAACATTGAGAAGCCTGATGTTTGAACAATAATCTAAAAAACCCCAGAGTTATTAAAAAATGTAGCTTGATTTTTTTTATTTTGTTTTTATTTTATTTATTATAAATATCCTAATATCTGTAGGGGCGAGCAGTTGATTTCTGCCTTGATGAACATTTCCCAGTGAACAATTGTTTAAGTACTTCATCCTCTGGGAGCTCCACAGATCTTTGTTAACTGCGAATACCTGTTGTACAAAATGGCGGTGCTTTTGTGCAAATACCCTACAAGGACTTATTTACAGCACTGTTTGCGGTGTTCTGTAGCTTTATGAATAGACTTTTCCTTGACCACAGACTTACAACTAAGGTGCAAACAAACAGTGGCATAGACTACTTTGTTTCACGTTTAGCTATGCTTTCATATGTTGCTTTAGTTTAAAATTATTTTTAGGATTTTTTTTTTGTACTCGATGAGTGTCCAGTGTTGAAAATGTGACATTTCCACAGGAACAAGTTGTATGTATGATCTGTATGCTGATCGCCTACATGAGCACTTTCCTCTGGATATCCATGCTGCCTCAGGGGGAACGATCTGCTATTTTAAGCTGATTGCATCAGTGGGCCATCTTATTCGTCTTTCAATAGTATCCCTTCAGATTGAAGCAGATAACTGCATCACTGACTCGTTAACTGTTTATGACTCTCTGATGCCAATCAAACATAAGATACTGTACCAGTGAGTATAAATTTTCATTGAGAATTCATTGACAATCATTTGGGTTGTTTTTCTGTAGATTTGTCGACTGCATTTTTGGTGGGTTTTGGCTTGTTTTGCTAAAAATACTCTGATCTTCATGCATTATGCACACAACACCTGGCAAAATATTTTTTTTTTTTTAAAGTGGAAAAACTGATCTTGCTAATAAAAGAAACAGTTAAATATTCTTTAAATTCTTCTTTGCTCTTCAACTGGAGTGCATCTTCACCTAGCTGCAGAACTATGAGAAGTTCACACATTACTGGGCGTAATTTTCTGTTTCTTGTCAGGAAACAAATGCTAACTAAAAGAAGATGTCAAAATTTCCTCCTTTAAGCAAACTCTTCTTCTGTATGAAGATTAGTGCTCTTGATATGAAGACTGAAGTTCTAAAACTAAGTCTCGTGATTCTTTGGATACTTACCGCCACTCACCAGTTCAGCGCTTTTTATAGCTGCTCTATTTGAGTAATTTAGAGGGTTATTAAAATCTAGAGTTGAAGCTCTGATGGATTGAGGGATGTGGACTATTTTTTTTTTAAATTATTTTTCTATTGTTTTCTCTCTTTAATGATCCAGTAGGCTTGTTTAGGGTTTTTTGTTTTAAATTCCTCGTAACTAGTTCCACAGGGCTCTGTCATACTAAAAGGTGAAGACAGCACCTCCATCAAGCAGACAAAGAGCTCAGTGTTTTGACCCCTGAAATCCTCTTCTCTGGCCTGTCAGTGTGTGTATAAGCCTCAAAAAAGAGCATTGGCTTTTCAGTCCTCTTTGAGAGCTGTCCTCTAGTAGTCTGAGCCAGTCACTGACTTGCCTATAAAACAGCAGATGGTGTTCACTTACTTGTTTAGTATCTGTAGAGGACTGAGGATATCTGCTAGGTAATGCATATAGAAAGTAACTTTTTTTTTTAATGGGACTAGTTGATTGGCTCAGGTTCTTCATTTCTGACTTGAATAACTTGCTTGTCTTTCCAACTCCCCAGCGCCAAGCTAAATCTGTTGGTCTAATAAAATAATTTTTCTCTTTCTACAAACTTTTCTTTACTATTGGCTTCATTCATTTTTGCTTGGAGTGAAGGCTGAAAGTCAGTATTATCTCCTAGAGCTAACCATTCTATCTTCCTTTTCATGTTTGCAATTTCTTTCTTTTTTGTACGAAGTGACTTTCTAGTACTGAGTTTCTAACTGGCCTTGTAACAGGTACTTTTGTGTTTAAGAGCGTGGAGTTTTTACTGGGCTTTGAAGTAGGTAAGCTCTGCACCAGTGGAAAATTTATGCACAGAATGAGAGCGATGTGTTGGGGGTTTGTTTGGGGGTTTTGTTTGGGGGTTTGTTTGTTTTTTACCGATTGCTTACATGTGTACTCTCCTTTCTTGCCCCTCAGAGCTTGTGAACCAGCTGATTCATTGGTGTCACTTGTGTCCACAAATAATCTCATGCTGGTAATGTTTAAGGCAGCGCAAAAAAAGGAACGGAAGGAATTCCATGGCTATTTTGAGGTCATTACACAAGAAAGTAGGTTTGTTTTGTGTTTGGAAATGTGTTTATTGTGTTATTTCTCTCTAAGATCCCAAAGGTTCCTGAGTATGGATATATGACTCCTGTATCTCGGTTTCTTTTTTCCTACATGCCTGTCTCTCTCCTTCATCTCCTCTGCATTACTGAGTGTCTGCCTTCCTCTTGATTAATTTGATCTGTGCAGGTTAGCTGTCCTTAAGTGCAATATGAAGGGAGAAGGCTGAAACCAGCACTGACTGAATTCAGTTGGTCAGGACTGCAGTGTGCCAGTAGGTGGAGTTGTTATTCCAAGTGTAGCACTGCTCTGGCCTCTCTCCTGGTTTGGGACTCAGTGATAATGTTAAAGATGGAAGGAATTCAGCACTAAATCTACTTTCAGAAAATAAAACTTCAGGAGCTTTGTCTGCGTTTTCTATCGGTCCCTGCCTCCTCATTAACACAAAGGAGTCAGTTATGTTTCTGCATCAAGTCCATCTTCTGCTTTTTATTGCTTTAAGAAGTGGTTAGATCATAATCACAAATAGTACAAGGAACATCACACTAGTAGCACAAGGAGTAAAATCTAACACAATCCAATGCAAGGAAATTCAAGCTGCTTAAAAAGATGCTGCATACTTTTCATGCTGAGAGTGATTAAACATTAAAATACCATCACAAAAGCATGTGATAAATTCTCCATTATAAGTAACTTTAAATTCAGGGCTGTTACTTTTGTTTGGTTGGTTGGTTTAAATTCAGGGCTGGGTTTTCTTTGTTGGTTTCTCTGTGTGTGTGTATTGTTTTTAATGAATTCTTTAAATCCATTGAGCAGTCATAAAAGGAAGTTTTGGCTTCCAGGAGACTGATTAGATTAGCATGTTGTCCATTTCTCTTCTAACTGGTTGCATTTTAAGACTAGAGGTCCTCGTGTACTACTGCAGCGTGGATGTATTGATGTGCAACACTGTTCACTGAGACTTATTTGCAGAACTGCCTTCGGTGAAATAAACAATATAAAACTTCACAATGTTTTCTCCTAGTCCTGCAGAGCCCAGCAAGCATTCCTAGATTTTTACATCCCTTGTCTCTGTCTGCATCATTGGGAAGGGTATCTTTTTACAGCTTGAACACAGATAAATATAATTCCTAAGCTGCACTGTTTTGCAGTGGAAGACTTCTGATAAATTTGGATGCTTAGCCCACTGAATAGCTTTGCTGGAAATATATTAAAGTTTACCGACTTTTGCTTCCTTTTTTTCCCTAGGGTGTGGAAAAGCAATAGTGACAAAAGAGAAAATTGGCTATGAAGGGAGAATCACAAGTCCCTATTACCCAAGCTATTATCCTCCAAAATGTCTTTGTGTGTGGAACTTCCAGGTAACGTGAATCTCTTTCTCTCTTAGGCACTGTTGTGTGTTTTGGGCACATGGAACCTGTAAGTATAGCAGAAGCAACTGTGTAGGGAATAACCCGCATCCTTACAGATGTGGCAGTTTATAGAAATGACATAGCTGAATAGCTGGCTGTGCTCAGTTTTTTTGTGTCGGGTTTTTTCTTTTGTTTTCTGTGCACTTATTCTTAATGAAGAGAACATAGTTCCTAAGCTGTCCTATTATAAAGGTAAAGAGCTAAGGTTTGATGTTTAGCCTGCAGAATTGCTTCACAGCAGAGCATGTAAGACTTTACTGGTTTTAATTCCCCTCTTCCCACCCCCCAAAATTTAGAAAAAAAGTATGTACAAAAGAGTCCTCTAACTTAGTTATTACTGCTGCTTCTCTGATATGTCTTCTGAGTCTATAATAAATTGAATTTTTGTCTCCTAAGATGTTCTGCCCTATCAGCACAATCCCACAGACTGTTTTTTCTTGGCATCCTTTTTCTGCATCTTTTCAGGTACTTTCCTGAAAGCAAATGACCGAAAGTTTACATCTGTTTGAAATAGTTTTGTCATGCCTTGTCTGATGACACTAGTATTTCCCTATTGATGCTGCTAAAATATGATCTTCGACTTACGGTTTTGCCCTTACTGTTTTCCTCTCTAAAGAATCTGGCAATGGATACAAAGCAGTCCACTGGTTACCCATCTTTCTGCTTATGCTACTCATGTCCAGTTAAGCTAGTGGTTGCTCACGTTGAATCACACCAATCTGAATGGAGTCCAGCTAGCCATGACCTACAGCCTCTTCCTCTTCTAGAAAGCTAAGGCGGTTACTTTTTTGCCTAAACTTCAGGTCTTCAATTCACCCTGGACATATGAGGGAAAACTTTCTGGACTTGACATGGGCAACGCCCAAGACTTATTTCTCAAAACAGTTTAATTTCCCAGTAGCTCAATGCTGAAACTTCCCTCATTTCCCAAATCATCTTTTCTGTAAGAAAGGAGAAATATCTCCATTTCTGGATTCTGGTCCTGAACTAGCCCTTGTTCTTAAAGGAATGTTGCCTTACCTTGCAAAAAGGTTCTGTTCCTTTTAATAAAGGAAATTCTAATTAATTATGAACCCTCATGATACTGCTGGGCTTAAAAATCTTTTGTAAAATGCTAAAGAATGCTTCGATGAGCAGGCACTAGCAGAAAACTACGCTATTGTGGTAGAAGTAACTCCTAGCATTACAAAGGTGATACAGGTATTCAGTGCGGTATCTTACCTAACAATCCGTTGGGGCTGTGTGTCCCTACACAAGTAAATTTGGATGTGTTTGAGTGCTTTGATCTTGATACAAAAGCTGCTTTCTATGGCCAGTGGCTTTTTGAAGATGAAAGGGCTGTTAGCTAGAGGGGGAGAAAGCCTGCAGCTGTGGTGGGGCTTTGCCAACCTTTGCTTTTACTCAAGACTGAATAGCTGGCAGGTGTCTCAAGTGCTGCCTGTTGAGCTGGCGAAGTCAGCACAGCTCCCAGAGCGTGGCATTGCCAAGTGCTGTAATTGCTAAGATAAGTCTAAAGACTTTTGTGTACTATGTCCACAAAAGGAAAAAGAAGACCGCTTGCACTCTCTGTCTTGCTCACAACAGACTCCACAGAAGAGCCTTGGTATAGCTCTGAAGTTGCATAACTATACCATCAGTGAGAAGAATATTAAAGGTTGTGAGAGAGGATGGTGGAAAATTAATGAACACATGTAAGTACTTCTGCATGGGTTATTAAACTAACATTACCAAAATAAACCTTCCCATCACTACTGCAGCTCACTCAGGGAGTTTCCACAAAGACAGAGATACTTCACTGGTGTCTCTTACCATTCTTTCACTTTGGTTGATGACGTAACTGAATCTTTGTAAAATATATATACATATCAAATTCTTTTCTATTGAGTTGTACCAGAAAGATGAAAACAAGAGCCTTTGGTACTCTCTGGAGAGAAAGAAATGGAAAGAGTTGGGTGAAGGTGGATCTCCTGTGAACCCTGAAATAATTCTGGGTTTTCTGGGATCATTGAACAAGGTCTGTTAAAACCCTTTTAAGTGTAACTTAATTCTGTGATTGCTCACGAGGACACTGAACCTAATTAACTTCTCAGTGAAAGCTATTACAATGACATTATTGGGAATAGAAGAGTAACTGCTTCCGCATTCCAGTCACTGGCTCTTGAAAGAGAAACCACACAGATTGACTACCAAGGTACCACTGTATTTCTTAAGTGTTTTTTATTAAAATATTGCTGCTGGTTTTTTATTAAAATACTGCTGCTTTCCCATGCACATTGTCCACCCATTTTTTCCTCAGTTTTTTTAAGTCATCTTTCAATCAGTGGATGATGAGACAAGGTTAGATTTAGGATGTTGGATTTTTTTTTTTTTTTTTTTAACTTTGTTCAAATGGAAACCTCAATAAGATCAGACTTGAAACTGAATTTCTGAACTCGCTACTGAAACTAAGCAAAGTCAGTCAGGCTTTTAAGAGTGTAACTGAAAGAATTACAGAGGAGAAAACTTCCTCTATTCTTTGATACCATGTTGTACTTATATAAAGAAAACTCATTTTGTCTGAAGCTCCTAAAATTGTGCCTTAATGGGAATTGGTTGCACCCTGGATGGGCACATAAAAACACAAGTCAAAACAGACATTAGGTGTGTTTGTGGGGTTTTTTGGTTTTCTTTTTATGACACAATTGGAAAGATTTGAGGTATTGGGGATGGCTGAGAGATGAATCAAATAAAGGCAAAATCTGGAGAAAAAAATTATGATGGGTTCATATTGTAAGGATTCTCTATGTGAAAGTTCAGCTTTTAAATAAGCCTACCAATTATACATTCCACAGAATCAAATGTCAGAGTATGACCCTTAGAAATGCACTCGGGGTTACTTTTGAAATACTGTACAAGAATACATGCTCCTGATTTCTGTTGCAAGTTGCTGATGTTTAAATAGACCAAGACAAATTTTCCTTTGAAAGTGTCTCTTTCACTGAAAATAAGGCTTTTGAACCTCTATGACTTTCTGTTCTATGTCTACTTTCCACGGAAAAAAATATGATTTAAAGCATGAAACACTTTGATATTTGATTTTTTTTGTTGTTGTTGTTGTTGAAAAAAATATGATTTAAAGCATGAAACACTGATATTTGATTTTTTTTGTTGTTGTTTTCCCCAAATTTTAATGGTTAATGAAATGGAGGGGGGGAACCCCACTTTTTCAGCTTCCTGCAATTGCAGCTTATAGCATGCATATTCTGCTATCTTAGGTAAAAAGGATTAAGAAGCTTCAGGAGACTGATCTTGGCAAATAAAGACTGCTACCGTGAAGATGGTGCAGACAAGGTTCCTTCAAATCTCTAGGGTCAACTTTGTCTAACCAGAGACACTGAACACAAACGTGCGGTTCTTCCTTGTCTTTCTTCCAGTGGAAATGCAAATGTTCCTCTGCCTAGTCAGAGGAGTTACAGCTGATGAACTGCTTTTGCTGAAATTCTCATAGGCAGAAATATCAACGAGTTCCTGTGAGCAGACTGTTAGAGGCTTATGTGAACAAAGAGGTTGCCAGTGTTTTATTTTTCTTAAAGCTGTTGGTGCAACATCCCATTGTGTCTGCTACAGGATGCATGTATCTACTCATCCCCTGAAAAGGTATCCCACTCCCTGCTTCAACATATGGGACAGGATCCCCTTAATTAGTTTCTCTCTGTAGCAATGGCACAGAGTTGCAGATGGTGCCTTGCAACCTCTGTTTGCCCTGGACCTGGAGAAATGGCTAGTAAAACACCAGTAGAAGGCCCCCAAGGATCTGTAGCTCTGTCTTACAAATCCCACAAGCGTATGGCATTTCTCACTGTGTACAGGAGATGGCTTCTTTGATGTAGCTCTCAGCTCTTCCACAGATGGGCGGGAGCTTCCTCTACTTCTGGCGAGATGAGGTGGTTTTATGTGGCTGAGAAATGGTCAATGCAGCCTGCAATTTTTTTTTTTTAAATGGTGCTAAGGTTTGTTGAAGGGATGTTGTCTAAGTCATCGACAGAAGAAGACATGTAGAAAATGTCTGTGGGCTAATTGAGGGGAATCAGATGGTTAGGAGGCATTTTGCTATGCACTTTAGCAGGCTGTTTTAGGTTGGGAACATTGATGACGGAGACACTAAAATGAGCGTGAATAAGACATCCTGTAGCAGGAAGTCTTCACTCTTAGCCCTGATAGATTTTGTTGTGGTTTTTTGTTGTTTTTTTTTTTGACAATTAACTTTACTATAGTGGAAAGCTCTTAAATTAACTCTCTTTACATCTGTTTTGAGGACGTGTAAGAGGAGTCTATTTTTTTATAATTGTTTTTTTTATTTATTTTTCGCATTGCTGGAACAGAATCTCCTAGATCTGTTAAAAGGATGTTTCATTTTCATAGGGTGAAACAAAGCACATATGGAAACATGAATGAGCATGGCCATTCCCTATGGCATGCTTCAGTGTGGTGCACAGGACACCAGGCAACATCTATCCACATGGAAATCACTGCCCGATTCCCCTGCATTCATTGACATGAAGAGTAGTCCTGGTGCAATGCCTGGTGTTGCCAAAATAAACAAGGGAAATATTTACCTCTGGATCATAGTCTATTTAACAATACAAATAATCCATTTTCATGTTCTTCGAATTCATTCTAACTGCAGCATGTGACCTTGCACTGCTGTTAAGCAAGTGTATGTGCCAAGTGTGCTAAGAATCAATACAGCTGCTTCTGCTCTTAAATCTGTTTAGGCTGATAAGTACTTTTCTTGACAGGAGTCTTAAAGCCAGATGTTTTTCTCATAAGTGCTGCATTTTTGGGGTGTTTCAGTGGAACAGAGGAGAGGGTCCTTATTTCTACTTCTAGAACAATCTGTACTGTCAACGTTCACTGGGTTTACTACATTTAAAACTGTCTCCAATTTTTAAAGTATGATCCAGCAACCTTTCCCTGCTAAAGAGGTTTTTTGGAGTCTTGGGGGGTTTTTTTGGTGTTGGTTTCCCCCCCCAGCTACAGTAGCATCTAAATGCCAGTTGCAACATCTTCAGCATCTTTGATGAAAGGGGCAATAGAAATGCATTAGCAATGGATGGATGAAATGTTTGCTAATACCAGGGAGCACTTAGGTTTCTCTGAGTCAAGTGGCACTTAGGCAGAAGTCCAAGGAAGCTCTTTGCCAAAATGGCAGCTTAAAGCAGATGCGCACCCAAGGGATTTTTTTTTTTTTTCCATCTAGACTATTTATTTGAAGACATGACTTTCAAAGGTAAAATTCCAGATTGTTAATGGTGGATGAAGGCTGGGTGACTACTTAGAAATATTTTCAGTTTCCCTAAATCTATTCCACCCTGCCTCCAGAGTAGTTGGACCAATTTTATCCCAATCCCTTTGTGCACTCTTCTTTAGGGGCAATCCTCAAAATCAGAGCAGCTAAATTTGCTGTCCACTGTGCTGACATTTCCCCTCCCACCAAATTTACTTAAGTCTTCCCAAAAATCCAGATCTTTTGAAAACAGATATTAGAAGCGGTGACAAAAGTACCCATGTTTGTCTTGATAAATTTCTTCATTCCTCTAGACTTTCTGGCAAAACATTCTCCTTGCATGTATGTGGTCATGAAGGATTATGACCAGCATTTTGGGGAATTTGGGTACTGCTTCAGATTTTGGTTCTTAATTAAAGTATGGCAGCTGACTGTATTGCTGAATTTCAGTGATGTTGACATTTAAATTGTATGTAAGGCAATTTTGATGTGAAGGCTGCTCTAGAACTCCACTGAACACTTTTAGGTACTGCGGTTACTATGTCGATCACCCAACAGTCTTCCACATTGCAAGTTCTGCTGTCAACATCGAGCTTCAGTGCAGTTCGAAGGTCTCAGAGAAGCCACTTCTGGTGGAGTATGGCAGCTATAACATCAGCCAGCGTAAGATGGATTTTCTTTTTCAACCTATCTTTGCATTTCAGATCTGTGAAGCAGCATTTTTCAGGTCCAGTAGGACTTCATTAGGTTTACGCAGGAAATTCTCTGTTGGGTCTTTGTTTATTTTCTTTTCTAATCTTACTAAGTCGGGTGACTAGCAAATGCAGAGCCCTTTCTAGCTTATCAAGGCTATGCAGCTAAGGTTTGTGGGCATGTGCAGCATGCTCTGGTTTCCTGTACGCACACAGACTGCTCTCTTCTGCACAGTCCTTAAAGCTTCCTGCGTGGCTATGGCCATGGTGCAGTCAACTGAAGTCTGATGTTCCTGTTTGTTTTCATCCCCAAGGTTTTGTTTGCAATGTTTCTATTATCACAAAGGCTTCCAGGTAATGGACAGAGAGTATGAAATAACCAATGGCTTATTCCAGTGTTTCCATCAATTTAAATACTTTGTGTGCAAGTAGAAACCTGAGCTGAAAAACATCTCAAAAAGTTGATAAAATAGTCTACTGACTGTGAGTTTTTTTCAAGCCCTGAAACGGACAACTGTTTACTGATATTTTTTCCCCTTTGTTAATCTTACATATTCATGCTGTTATAGTAGTAGAGAAGCAATGGTTTCTAGTCATAGCTACTTGTCACATTAGAGCGATTTTATGCATTGCATATATGTGGAGTATGTAAAAAGGTGATAACTTCATGATTTTATTTTAAAAGGCAAACATTTATGTAATTCATAAGTCACCTCAATACAGTTTACTAACTGAAGTTGCAAAGTGTTGCAAATTTTGGTTACTGAAAGTGAGACTGTCCTTTAAAAGAAGATGGCATTCTAAGCTGCCTTGTGTTGCACCATAAAACACTGGCTGATTTGGTCCAGTCCTAGTGTAGAGCCTGCAGTACATACTGCAGTAACAGCTCAATTGGAACTTTAGAGATATTCACCTCAATACAGTTTACTAACTGAAGTTGCAAAGTGTTGCAAATTTTGGTTACTGAAAGTGAGACTGTCCTTTAAAAGAAGATGGCATTCTAAGCTGCCTTGTGTTGCACCATAAAACACTGGCTGATTTGGTCCAGTCCTAGTGTAGAGCCTGCAGTACATACTGCAGTAACAGCTCAATTGGAACTTTAGAGATATTTTTTCTTCTTTTTTAAATAACACTTTTCAACATCTGAACTCAATTTAAGTGCTGGCAATGCATACAGACTATTAAATTTTAGAGAAACTTTATCATCCCTTGGAACAGCTTAGTGACTGTAAATTGAAGTGAGCTGGCAATATTTGGGAAAAGGAAACTTTTAGGTTGTTTGGGGTTTTGTTTTGTGTGGGTTTTTGTTGTTTTTCTTTTTTTTTTACCTCCAGCATGTCCACCTGGACATTTCAAGTGTTCTACTGGCTTATGCATCCAGCAGATGCAGCGCTGTGATGGGATAAACAACTGCTTCGATGAAAGCGATGAACTCTTTTGTGGTTTGTATTCACTTACTAGAGATCTTGACTGGAAAACCTAATGAATGTATTCTCTAGTCTTAGAAGGCAGCTGAAAGAAGGTGAATTTTTTTTTAGGGGGAAAAAAAAACGTTTCCCGCTTTCTTTGTATTTCCAGGTAGAGACTATCAGTCAGTCTCTTGAGTGCTTAATTCCTAGTCAATTAGCAAGGAACGAAACTAAGAATGAAGAAGGTATGGCACTGGAAAGCATGAGCAAGAAAGTTAGATGTGCAAAAATAGCTGTAATAAGCTATATTTTAGTTTTTCCTCATGTGATAAATGCTGGTAATTATAAAGTTCTGTTCTATTTTGAGCCTAGTTATTTTATTTTCATGGGGGAATGACAAATTGTGGTGCATAGAGCAGATGAGAATGATAATAAATGTCCATGGTGAAAGAGGGTTAGAACTTGGGCCACTCCACTTGGGGCAATGTGTGAACTGGGATAGGTCACTGAACTCTCTTGTGCTTTATTTTCTCCATGCATAATGTGTGCACTCATCCTTGTATCATGCAGTAAAGCTATGAAAAGTGGTACCCAGGAATAGTCAGAAGGGTAGTGTTAGCATTACAAGCGCGCTTCTGAAGCTGATTTGACTTATGTTTTTAAAGTTGTCCCTGAGTGGAACTGTAACTCCAGCTTCGCAATACAGGATAACCTGCTTGCCTGCAATGGAGTAAGTGATTGTGAGAATGGAAAAGATGAGCAGAACTGCACCCACAGTAAGGCTACTCTCGTGATTAATTTTTTTCTCTCTTCTATCATCTATCCAATCCTGACTTGAATACTGGATGCCATATTCAAAGAGTTAAGAGGTACTATCAAATCTAACTCAGGCTATATAATTCTGTTCAGTTTTCTGATATGCTTATAAACAAGCCGTTATTGATTTTAAACTGTTTCTTTTTAATGAGCTCATGAACATCTGTTTCAGCAAAATACTGGCAGAAGACTTAAGTACTCTGGGTGCAGGATGGGGATCTAGGGATCTAAAGCTTGAATCCCAGATTTCATCTCTTTAAAGCATAATCTGTGCAAATTATTTCCTGGATCTGTTTTACCATCTGTAAAATAACTATAAAAATGATAGTTTCTCTGGAACAGTTTTCACGGTTATAAGGTTAATATGTTTAAAATGCTATGGAAGCTATAAATTTAGCATTAGGCACATGAAAGTTTTGAGTCAGCCATTTCTTTAACTTTTTAGAATAAATGGACACCATGACGTATGAAAGGGAGCACAACTGGGAAGTGCTGCAAGTAACTTTTTTAAAGAAAAGTAATGTTTTTTGACATGCTTGAGTAGACAGTCTGTGTAAATGGTTACAGGATATTTCTGTGTGTTGACAAGAAAAAATAGATTGGGTTTGAGTGGCCTCATTTATTGCAAGCCACAGGGAAACAGGAAAATGCCAAGGTTGGGGTTGCAGTTTAACTAAATACAATTAGTAAGACTGCTTTCACTAGTAAGACTGCTTTCACTACTGTCTTCTTTTTCATATTTAATACTGAAATATAAAGGAGGGCTTCTTTCCAGAGTACTGGATGTTTTCTCTTTCTAGCCTAACACTTGCTCTACAGCTAAGTTTTCATTACTATATCCATGTTCATTAGTGCTATGGGAAAGGATGGGAGGAAATCTTTGTTCAGACTCAGCTAACTTGATGCAAGCCTTAGTATAGATGCAGTTCTACTTGAATAGTTTATTCTACTTAGAGATTAGTTTAAGCCATACCAGCTAAAGTGCTCTTTTGCTATGTTCCCTCCTATCTATTAATACATATATGAATCTTTTATCTGTGCAGACATGTCTTCATGTGTTAAGCTGAGCCAATAGTCTTTTTGTTTTCCCCACAACTATTTCAGGTATTCCTTGCACCAACCACACATTTAAGTGCAGGAATAACATTTGCATTAGGAAACAAAATGCAAAGTGTGATGGGACCGTGGACTGTATTGATGGAAGTGATGAAAGCAGCTGCAGTAAGTCCCTCTCAAATGTTCAGCTTTTTGAACTTTGAACTTTTTACACAATAAAGCCCTTTATTTCTTCCTGTTTTGGAGTGGGTACAACTCATGCAGTGGGTATTGAGGTTTTTATTGCGTCCTCTCAGTGATAGTGGGGTAATGATCAGCTATCGGTTCACTTCAGGTCTGGTTGCAGAATTTCCTAAATTCTTGTGGGAAGGTGAGCTTGCTGGTATGGGGAGTCTTAGTCAGCTGTAAAGCTTATTGTAGCTATGTTAAGGAGCAGGGAAGCAGGGTTAATTGCAGAGTGAACTTGACTAGTTGGTAAGGCAGCATTTTCGTTGCCTGCAGCAGTGTCAGGTACTTCTGTTGGAGTCAAACTGTATTTGGACTTCAGGAGTGACACAGCTGCAATGAGATAAAAACCACAAACTTTTCACTTCTCTGTCTCTTCTGGATGGTGAAGACCCCAATATTTCATAGTATCAAGCTAGGTTCTAGTCTCAAATCCTCCTGAAGTAACCTGTGTACAAGCTTTTCAGTTTGTTTTGCTGTAAAGAGAACAGGTGATTGTTACTGCAGTAGCAATAAAAGCGGGGTTAGGATTAGTTGCTTAAGCTGAATATTCTCTGGTATTTTGTCTAGCCCTTAGCTGTTTCTGGCATGCTACCTGTACGTCAAATCTGCCAGCACCTGCCTTGGATTCAGTAGAACATCTTAAAAGACTAACTATATGCCTACTTGTGTTTGGAAACATTAATGCTGCTTTTGACTCTTTGGCTGAGCGCTGGAAAGTGCCCAGAAGCATTAACACCTGTGCGTGGGAATGTGGGACTAAAATTCCTGAGCAGAGGCTTTATGTGCATGCACTAGGGATGGCCCCCTCTGTAGGGCCTTTCTCCGTTGCTCTTCAAATTAGTGTGCAGCTTTTTGTGCTGAGACATGACTTCTTCACCTGTGAGTTAGTAATATATAACATTTTCAGGCTTTCAGTTGTTTCCATGCAAATTAATGGTTGGACCACCTGATTTCTGAAATAATAAATGACTAAACTCCACATATGTGGCTGCTACTATAAACATTTTTCTTGTATTGTTCCCACTGTTTTGGCAAGAAATAAGTGTCCTGATGATGCTGAACTTCCTTCCTTCCTGATGGACTCCTTTCAGTTCAGGGCTGACAGTATTAAAAAGAGATGAGGGATTGTCTATTTTTATATATTTATTTTGATGCTTATTAAATCAATGGATCCTTTGATATTTCTGACACAAGAAATATTTAGAGGCCAATTTCTGTAGCAGAGCTAAAAAAGAAACTTATTAAATTTCCCAGGCCAGTGCCTTTTTTTATGGAGTGATCTTCTGTTTTGAGGAGTAGAGTAGCCAAATAGAGACATTTTCTGATTAGAGCAGGGCAAGGAAATTGTCGTGGTTTACCAAAACCAGGACAGAAATATATTTCAAAACATTTCAAAGTGCAAGATTCTTTCATGCCATATGTGGGAAGCGCTCTCGTTAAAGGAAAGCACTGTGGATGGAGATTATAACCTGAAATATCCCTTGCAGGTTGTGGCAGCAGCAAGAGCAGCAATCCCATCTCTCGGATTGTAGGCGGTACGAACACTGAGGAAGGTGAATGGCCCTGGCAGGTCAGCCTTCATTTTGTGGGAGCTGCTTACTGTGGGGCATCAGTGATATCGAAAGAGTGGCTTGTGTCTGCAGCTCACTGCTTTCAAGGGAGCAAGTAAGCAGTCTTCCCCTTAACTCTGTCCCAAAAATTGTCAGCGTCCCCAAATGCCTTTAGCTTCCAGAGTTTGAACCGCACCGAGGAGGGATGTGCCCTCATCTTTCACCTGCCCTGCTGTCGGGGGGGTGTTTTGGGGTACTTTTTAAAGAGATGGCTTGTTTGGTCCCAACCAGGCTGGCTGACCCCAGAGCATGGCGTGCTCACCTGGGAATGCAAACTCAAGGCCATGCAAAGTTTGTATCTGCAGTGAGACGGATCATCGTCCACGAATACTACAACAGCAGGAACTACGACTATGACATTGCACTGCTGCAGCTGAGCAAGCCATGGCCGGACACAATGAGCCATGTCATCCAGCCGATCTGCGTGCCTCCCTTTTCGCATAAAGTCCGCAGTGGTGACAAGTGCTGGATAACAGGTTGGGGCCAAATGCGGGAAACGGGTGAGTTTTATAGCTTTAGTCGAGCTAATTTTGTTCCCAGGTAAACAGCAGCCTTCACAGCTGTGGGTGTGTGCGCAGGACACCTGCTTTTGTTGCATGGCTGAGTTGTGCAGAAAATCATAATGTTTTGAATTTACTGTCCTATGGAAGTAGGTTCCTGCATGCACATACCTTCATATGCTCAAGAAAATTGGCTGCTGGTCCTGTGGATCTGGAAGTCCTGTGTGCTCCTGTTGTTAGCTAAGACTTGCAGGGAACTACGCTTACTCCGAAATAACACGGTATTGGTTTTCCCCTTTGTTATTCTTGGAGGTGTGTTAGCACACCTAAATGTACCCTTTGTTGCTTGCCGCAGGAGGATGAAACTGTTAAGTGTCCCTCCTCCCGCCTTCAGCCTCTGTAGGCTGAACAGCCTGTGGCACTGACCCTAGCTGTGAGGTGCCAGCTCCATCCTTGGAGTGTGGCTTGACAAAATGGCCACTGCATTGACAAAATGGCTGCCCCTGTAATGGTGGGCTGCCCCATGGCAGGGGTAGGCCTGGCCCTCCCACCACCTTGTCCTGAGCTGCCTCCTCCCTGGTGCGAATGCTGGTACCTTCTGCCCCTCTTGTGGCTGCTTTCCTAAAGCCCTTCCAGTGTAGCTGTAGGTGTGATGGCTTCCCTCGGCATAAATTGCATAACCGCCACCGTGCCAAGCCCCGGGTCTGCCAGCACAGGCCTGGCCCAGGTGGTTTGCCTGTACCTGCAGGGCTGCCCTGGCCCGGCCTTGCTTGCCCTCTCAGGGCTGCCGGCACCATGCCGGCCCAGCCTCCCCGCTGCTCTTGGCGGAAAGTAGGAAAGGCAAATGTGTGGTGCGAGGCAGCAACAGGGTAATTAACCTCCAGCATTTTGACGTGACGTTCGCAGCCAGAAATACTACCCGCCAAATTACATTTAGCCTCTCTATAAATAGCTGTGAGAGAATATATGGTTGCAAACCAAGTGCAACCACCTTACTGGGAAAAGATGTTGGTACGGATGTGTGGTGTGGTGCAGTGTCTCTCTTTGGCCTACTGGTTAGTCCCCGTGCTATTTAAAAGCTGGTTATTTGAAAGATAAATGTGATGCCTCAAAAAGAAAAAAGGGATTTTTTTTTTTTTCCCCTGTTCCCCTCTTTTTCCCTTCATTGGTTTATACAATTTGATTGCCAAATCAGTTTAAGTATTTTTTTAAGTATACTTTATTACATACGAGCTTTATCAAATTCTGAAACAAAGTTTCATGATGTAAACCAGCACTTGCATATTTGAATATGTTGGTGAAGTTTCTTTGGCTATATCCAAATTTTGAGAGGATCACCTGGTGATATTATTAAAGCTGTTGTATTGAAAGGAGGGGACAATTCAGTTTAATTCTGTTTTTCCAGAAGTATGTATTTTACAGAAAAAAGGTATTTTAGCAAAATTTTCAGACAGAGAGGGCCAAATTTGAGATATGTCCAAGTTCTTTATGCTGCCAAAAGAGCAATCTGCATTCTGTAACTCTGACTCATACCTTTAATTTTGGATCCAACCCCTTCAGAGACACCACCCGAATTGCAAATCTGTCTTGTGATGATCCAAATACCTTTGTAAAATCCTGTTTCCTTTTAAAAATAAAAAGAGAATAAAATAAGAAATCTTGAGACACTTTGCAAAAGGCATTAGAAAAAGCTTTTTGGCCAACCCTAGTGATTATGCCATTGTATCTGGTGTGGCTAAAGGACCAAGTTCACATTACATAAATGCCTGATACCTAAGTGGTTTTCTGTGCTGTTGTAGTTAGTTGTTTGGAATCTGGAATAACTTGGAGGTCAAAAGTATCTGTGGATATTTTCTGAAGACTTCTTTTTTTGCCTTTCAATAGATGAGTAAAATGCTAAGCTCTCTTGAATCATCTTTCTTTCAATTTGTTTTCCAGATGATGAAGGTTCAGCAATTCTTCAGAAAGCAGAGGTAGAAATTATTGACCAAACGTTATGTCATTCCACATACGGGATTATCACAGCTAGGATGTTTTGTGCTGGACTAATGTCTGGGAAAAGAGATGGGTGCAAAGTATGTATTTTAGCATATCTTGCATAGAGTTTATCTCAGCTTTAATCGTTGCATGATGAGGTGTAAGAACTGACTGGCAAACCACTTTGTGGTCCATACATTTGAGTTCTGAAAAACAGCAATGCAAGAATTCTTCATCAGCAAATCTGTCATCTGGGTGTTTTCAGAGTTTTGCTGCTTTATGTATATGAATAGCATCACTAAGTCTCAGTTGTGGGCCAAGGGCCAGTCAATTTGCAAGTCTCAGTAACAGGTCAGGCAATTTTTGGTACAAGAGTCTCAGTTGAAGAAAAAACTGAGAAACTAGCTTGTCTCTTTTCAGGATCCTTCCCTCCCAACTTGGAACTACAGGACTATCTGATGAGATGCAGACTACTAGGCATAAATTTTCAAATATATAATAAATCTGATCTGGAAATGCTGGACAATAATAAATGTGAAGTTCTGAATTTACTTCTAGTGAATAGTAGTAAAACTATATATATACAGAAATGATATATAATATAAAATAAGATATAAATATATATGTTATACAATATATACTATATTATTTAGAACTTATATGAATCATATATTTACTTCTAAAATAATAGTACATTTACTGCTAAAATAGTAGTAAAACTACTTTTTTTTTTATGATGGATATCTGGAATCTTCAAGATGCTCTAGCTTTCACTGGTCTACATAAAAGTGAGAGAGACCACAATGACTCTCAGGGCAAGCAATGTCTGAAGGAGTATAATGTACCAGCTGCTTTTTAGAGATTAATGAGATCATTGACATTAAGCTTCATTTTCACTAACTGGAGAATTTTTTTCTCCAGTTATCTGTCTGGCCACTCAAGATATAGCCAAGGAACGGCATAATTTACAGGTCTTTTTGCTGCTTTTCTGTAAGGGCAAATGATGTGTGACTGAGTCTGGTAGTTGTTACAGCTGATCAAAATGTGGGATTTTTGTTTTATGAAAAATGCTGGTGTTCCACTTTTGCCCCAGGAATTAAAGAAAAAAAGTTGAAAATTTGACACTCTAAATGCAAAATCTTAATTGTCAAGGATGGAAAAAATGATCTTCTAAGTTAGATCTTTAACCATTTTGTGAGGCAATTCAAGATAATCCTGCTTTGAACAGCAGGTGGCTTTACTTAGATCATCCTCTGATGTCCCTACCAACCTGCATATCCTAAGATCCTACAAAGTTAAAGCAAATAGTTTGCTAGCTCTAACAAAATATACGTCTAGAAGGAAAGCACTTCTCTTGCAAAACATTGACATTTAACCAACTCACCTTTGGTTTTGGAATCCTTTATTGCATCCAATGCTTTGGTAAAGTTTAATTTGCTGCTAGCTGTCTGTTTCAGAGAGGTTGTGTCTACAGCAGAGTCTCACAAGAAAGTATAAGCTTGGTCCAAGAGATTTCCCTGAAATGGTGGCACTTCCCCCCCCCCTCCCCCCCCGAATGTCTGCCAATATATTTCTACAAGAATACCATATAAAGGAAGAGTACTATTTGTATTGTCCTGTATTATGGAATTATGCCATGCTGCATAAAATTTTGAAGTCTATAACAGGCTTCATTTTAACTGCCCTAATTAAAAAGACATTGTGTGCCCCTAAACATTACCTGCTGGCTTGCATCTACTAGAGGATAGCACTTAGTTTTTTTCCTTCTTAATAAAAACCCCAAAACAAACAAACAAACAAACCCAAAAACCAAATCGATTGAGGGATCCAATCTGTTTCCATTTATTTTAATTTGAAAGAAGTTATCATTATTAAATACTGTAACTGTATTTTAAATTTTATTTAAAAAAAAACCCTTACTATTTTTTTGAGTCATTAGGTGTGTAACCTATAAATGAACATGCATATTGTCATGGCTTAACCTCAGCTGGCAACTGAGCGCCACA